TTCCAACAGCCACTTCATGTTGATCATCTCTCAATTTTGCTTTCTTACGTTTCTTCATTGATCTCTTGGGAGATTTAACATCGGATCGTCCAACGGAGTCGGAAAGATCATCAAGCTCATCCCCACTTTCTCCATCAATGACCAAAAGACCTTCGCCTTCGGATGTTGAGCATCCATCATCAAGAACTGCCATGATCTTTTCCATACAGGATGATTTTAACTTTCTCTTCTCTTGATCGACACTCACATAGGGAATGTAGTCTTTGACAGTCATTTCGATGATGTTGCCATTGGGATCTAACATGAAAGGAGTTCTTCCAGTCGGCCATACGAATGAGTATCCAAGGTCAACGCACCGCTTGCCCATGGAGATCACAGAAGGCGTGTCTTCCAGAATGTGAGCTTCTGCTGGTTCGTTGAACGCCTCAAACTTGATACTTGAACGTTTGGTCGAACATGTTACCCCATTTGCTGTATGGAAGTTGACGACTTTGTCATCGTATGTTGGGAGATCCATTCTACTTATTCGTGTAGATGAGATGAGATCATGACCACTTCCAGAATCCAATATGAATCTCTTATCTCTTTCCTCAACAGGAACAGTGATACACATTGTGTTGCCCCTTTTACCATATCGACCCTCAACGTGCTGAACATAGTTCTCCACAAAGACTTCCCTAGACACCTCACCGTCCTCGATGTCGAGTCTGATCAGAATGTCCAGGCTGGGGCCGACGATGACCAGGACTTCATCAATGTCACTGTACTCACCCTTCTCATCGATCAGAATAGCCATTGCTTTCCCTCGGCTCGATGCTAATCTGCATGAATAAGACCATTGCTCATCTTGCCTTATCTGATCGGTGGGCTTACCAACCTTACCATGACCTTTGGAGATGGTTTGGGACTTCCGGCTGCACTTCACGAAGTCTTTCTTCACGTACGTTTGGACGTAAGTCTTAGACTCATCGAATCTGACCTTCTTCTTGATGACGTTCGATGCAACCTTGTGGAATGTCCCTTCGTCATCACTCCATTCATGGACAAGTGCAGGAGTAGCCTTTGAGCCTGATGCTTCGGTGTTTGGAGCAGTATTGAATAGATGAGGATCATGGCGTTTGTTGCATTTGTCTCCATATCGGCACTTGCCCTTAGCCCAGTGCCAGCATGGTTCATCAACCTTCTTGGTCTTGTTCGCTGGAGATTGACTTCTTGGAGTTCCTGGCTTTCGACCATTACCTTTTGCGTTCTTATTCGCATCAAACACCTTTTGATCGTGACTGTATTCACAATCTTTGCCTTTTCTGCATGCTTTCTTGATGAAGTGGAAGTGGCATGGGATCTTCTTCTTGGACCTAGGACTAGCACTTCGGCTGTTTGGTCGATCCTTTCCTTTCCCTTGACCTTTCCCTTTTCCTTTTGCATGCTGTTTCGGTTGAGGTGATGGTAGAACTGGAGCTGCATCGGCCTTGGCCTTCGCCTTAGGTGCTGCCTTCTCCTTGGGAGTGGCTTTAGGCTTCGCTTTCGGGTTGGCGTCTGGTGCAGCAGCAGTTGGATTCGGGGCAGGAGCAGTAGGCTTGCCGCCGCCGCCTGCAAAGTCTCTTGCGTACTTCTCCCTAGCGGCCACATGCTTGTCTTCTCTAATTCTGGAGATGTGCCTTTCGATGACGTCCAACAGGTAGCGATAGCTTCGTCTTTGGTCTCCTTCAATCCATGACTCGTACTGCTTGATGTCGAACATCATAAGACTCGAGTTTCGAATCTTCTTGTAGAGAGCGTCACGAAGCCAATCATCAGGAGGTACATCATCCGGCATCATGTTTGACACCATCTCCATCCATTTCTCGTAGAACACTTCCAGGTTCGAGTCACCGAGATATTTCATTGATACGATGTGCTCCATGGTGAATGCTGTCTCTCGTCGACCTGGGGTTCTGAAGTGTTCCAAGATCATAGCCAAGATTTCTCGTCCCATAACGTAGGTTCCTCTTCGGCTATGACTCTGTGTTCCCAATCTCAGTTTGATTGCTACATGACGAGCAACATCACCGGCTTGGGCTATCACGTTTGACAATGCAATTGACAACTTGGCGTCAATTGACTGATATCGTTGCCCCCCACTGTCATTCAATAGTTCGATGTCAGGATTTGGTCGAATAGCCGGCTGTAGCCATGCTTCCCATGCAGCTTTGTCCCCATCATTTGCGGCAAGAACAACACTCTTGATGAGATCTGATTGCCAAACCCCAAGATTCTGTTGCTTCGGCCATGGGCTAACATAGACTTTGTCAGCCTCACGTCTTGACATTCTCGGTACTTCTTCTGCCGTGTACGCCGCTGTGGAGATGTCATCCGCTGAATCACGTTGTGATCCTCGAACTGAAGGCAAGCCAGGAGGTTCTGGAGGTGGTCCTGGACCGTTGGGCCCGAAAGGGTCAGGAGGTCCATCAGGGTCAGGCGGACCGCCCCATCCGCTCGGAGGCTTGTAATAGTCCTTTTCAGTTCCATCGGCGATCTTGTTGTCAACTTCTTTCAGCAGATCGGTGATTCTTTTGTTCGATAGAGAGGATTGCTGTTGAGAAGGTCCAGCATGTCCGCGATAGGAATGAGCCATATTCGTCTCATAGGTCAACTCCTTGTCGATCTGCGAAACCCAAGATTTTAGGATAGCGTTCTCAGAGTTAGCCTCACTCACGTCATTCTCCAGTTTGTCAATGACCAGTCTTGATGCGAGATCATAGTTGGGGATGCCTGCCGAATAGGGAAGTGTATCAGGGCTGACCCTAGACATAGATGTTTCAGAATCTTTGAGACTCTTTCTTAGTTCATCTAGGTGACGTTTCATGTCAACAATCTCAGAATTCTTGATACCAATCTTTTCATCCCTATCCTGAATTTCCCCCATGAACATGCATGATCTCTCATATTGTTGAACACCACTAGCCAATTTCATTTTGCGCTCACTTTCTAGTTCAGATCTTAAAGTTCGGACTTCAGCATTGGAGAAGGACGACGCCCCTACATCCGCAACTTCAGCCAATCTCTCTTTTAACAACATGTTCTCTTGTAAGCATTCATGAACTTCATGATCTAGATCCTGAACCCTGATTTGAGCGATTTTGGCTTGATTACGTAGATCTTCAACAAGCATTTCATCGGGGCCACGACCGTCGGTCGTAGTGCCCTGAGTCAACGATCTTCGCAACTTCATGTTCTGCAACTTGATCTCATCCTTTAATTCGCAGTTCATCTCCTGCTCGTTGGTGTAGAGCTCTTCATAGTGCTCTGCCCTTGCGATCGAATTTGCACTAGCCTGCGATTCAAGCCTCAGGTGTGATATCGCTTCGGCCTCATGGTTCCTGTATGATGCAATTCTTCTGACAGTATCATGTTCAGTATTTCGATGCTTCAGATCACTTTCCAACTTGGCCTGATTTGCCTCGAAAACTTTCTTTCTAGATTCTCTAGTGATCTCTTCGATACTGCTTTCATACAACTCGGCCTGTTTACGAGACTGAACCAGAGCTTCACTCAATAGCTGATTCCGTTCAGACAATTCATGAACTGTAATTGATTGTTGTTGGCTAATCACTTCAAGTTGATTGCTAGAGAAGGATGCCATTTCGGATCGATTACGATATTCCATGATTGAGTTCTGGAAATCTGTCTGCATTTCTTGACCTTCATTGTATAGTCGATTGGCAATATCGGTGGTTAAGACATTGGTTTGATGAAGTTGTTGCAGTCTTACCTCCGTATTACCCAATAGTCCTTGAAGGTGGTGTACTTCATCCTCGTACTCTTCCTGGATCTCCATACCACGTTGATGGATCCGTCTTGCACCATGTTCCATTAGGGCACCTCGGCGTTCAAGGTCTTGGATGCGTATTGTTGCACCTTCGTCTTCCTGAGATGCTACCATTAGTTCTGCTTGATATTCTGCAACCTCATTTGCGGAACATGACAATCTATGATTGAGTGCATTGACCTCATCAAATACATTCTGGTTGTGTTCCTGAAGATACTCAGTGAATCTGATCTCGATGTCATGAATCAGTTGATCTCTAGATGCAGCGTATGCTTCCATGTGGTTCAACTGATTACGTAGGGATTGACATTGTGCCCGTAGTTCTTCTATCATGGCAATAGGTTCACTAGCCACAGAAGTATCCGTTGATCTCCTCTTAACACGACTATCCCCGGTCCTCTCACCAATTCGGTCGGTTACGGCCCTGGTGGATCTGTCCCTTGGGGTAGTTCGTCCTCGAGATGGTCGATGCCCTTGGCGGACAACATCACTTCGAGCACTGTTTCGAGAAGATCTTGGTGTACTTTGGGTGGATATCCTTCGTCTGTTTGATGTTACTTGCCATCCGGACTGTGTAGTTCGGGTTGGGCGTATCCCACCACTGTCTGCCGTATCACCAGGGGAAGATTGATTGACCTCCTCGACCGGCATAGCAGTGTTCTCATTGAAGGTAAACTGCGTGGTGCGCGAATCTCCGCTGCCGCCTTGCATCTTTGCGATGATGAGCTGATTGGTCCTTTGCGTCCACAATCAATTGCTCAGAAGGCCCGGCTACCAGCACGCAGGTATCACTCTCCCGGCGGGAGAAGTGAGCCCTACGGCTGATAACCTGTGAACAATTTTATCCTTGTTCTGGATGTGGTTATTGAATCGTAATACCTGTTATGCTGGTAGTTCCGGACAGTGACACAGCATGGCAAGCAAAGGTCGGACTTTTTCCTCGCGCAGGGACTTGAGCCAGTACGGCGTTTCGATGTGCAGTTGTGCATGCACATGATACATACCCTAGCGTTCAGTTCCCTTTGACATATCATATATATCATGTATAATATATCATATATATATATCATATATATATATATATTATATATATATATAATCATATAATGTGTGTGTAATGTGTGCAGCTAAATTTATCATCCCAAAAATCATAACTCCAAAAGCGGGCGCAAAAAACACCGAGGTGAGGCGCCATAGATCTGCTCCTCGGCTGTCGAATCGGCTCGGGAAATCCGGGCCCGTCGCTGGGGAAATCTGGACCTGGAAAAACTGAATTGATGGGGGGAGTATAATATGAATATAAATGGATATAAATGGATTATTGAAGATTATTGAATTTAAACATATTTAAACCTTAACTGGATTTATTCAGATGATATCTAGAATCTAGATTGGCTATTTTCCAGCGCCATGTTTGATGACGCCGGAGGCTATCCCACCCTGTTTTCTGCCACATAGCCGTACTAGGCCCTCGTGCCCCACGCTCATTTCGGAGAAGGTGCGACGATGCTTTGCAGCCGGACCTGCAATCGCATCCACATTTTAAGGTTACCATCTGGTTATGACTAACATAGCCATGGAAAATCCCAACCATAAATGGAGGTATTAATGGGAAAAACATCTATAAATGGACCATTTTCCATGGCTATGTTAAATAACCAGAGGGTAACCTTTTACTAATCTATAGAATTCTATAAGGACTCCCGAACCTCCCGTATCCAAGGACATGTTATATAACACATGTTAACCAGTTCGATGGTTTCCCCATGTTTCCGGGGAAAATGATGCATCGTTTGTCAAATGGTGAGGTCGGTTGAGCTTGCTATGACGTATCCAAGGTGCACAAGAAATGATCCCCAAGAGGATCACCGGCGAATCAGGGGAAGAATGGCCGAACAGGAGCACATACCCCATGCCCGCAGCAAAATTTAAGACTTTGATAAACTTTGGATCGCAAACTGGGTGCCAGTTCTTCAACAAAAGTCACACCTACCTTGATAATCCTTGATAAAACTCTATGTTGCAAACTCTCTCTGTTTCTGTGTCATATGGTATGCCAATTTGTGCCAACAGCAACTCGCCCTGGCCAGTTGGGATATGTTGGGATCGGATCGATTCCCTCCCCGGTGGCCCCGGCGGCCTTTGGGATCAAGCTTCACCCCCTGCGGATGAACTTCGATGAAGACATCCAGGACACCCTGCGACCCAGCGAAAAACAGCGTCGCAAGAATTTCCCTTTAGCTACTAAGATCTACCAATAAGATCCAAGAAACTTTTTAAACATGCCAAAGACTTGAATTGCAGGTATGCAATTTACCTGCAATTCAAACCATTCAAATCCACCAGACATATCAGACATTGCCACATGCTTCCAGTTGAGCAAATTGCAAAACATCATGTTTCATTAAAAGGGATATGCTGCGTAGTATGCAAAACTACCTATACCATCCAGTAAAACACGGCAATTCAAACTCATCCATTTATAGATGATGTGTTCCTATTGAAGCCCCCAAGATAGTGGATTTCCCAGCCATGTTTCATTACTGGAGGGTACATTTCACTCGCTTAGAATGAGCTTGCGTGCAATTATGATATAATATGGGGGGTATATGTTTCATTTGTTTCTTAATAAGTAAACCCCAAAACATCCCAAAACCATGGGGTTTCATACATACATACATATCATATCATATCACATCACATCACATATCATATCATATCATATCATATCAGAATACATTATATTATATTATGGTTTATATGCGTGTATATATATATATATGTGTATATGTATATGTTTATCTTACAGATAAAAAACTATTATATTATATTATATTTCATTATGTATATCATATCATATCATACCATATCATATATATCAAAAAATATTATATATATATAATATTATTATTACTATTCTTATTATTAGTGTTATTGTTATTGTTACTATTATTATTGTTATTTTTATTATTATATATTGTCATTATCATTATTATTACTATTATTACTATTCATATTATTGATATTATTATTATATTTATTATGATCATTATTCTTCTTATTAATAATTTTATTACTATTATATTCATTATTATTATGATAAATTGTTACTATTATTATTACTATTATTGTATACTAGTATTATTACTATTGTTATTATTATTATTGTTATTATTATTATATATTATGATTAGTGCTATTATTACTACTATTATAAATATTATTACGACTATACATATATAATATATATATATATATACGGCTCCAGGGTTGTTTCTACATATATATATATATATATGTACTAAGTCATGGTCTAATTCGGATGATTTTTCTGGGGCCGCTGGGGGTAGCCCCATTTTGCTCGGAAACCTCGAGCCATCAAGCCGCCTCACCTGTGTGGCCTTTTCCTCCAAGAACAGCGGCACGGTGCCTTCGAAGCCGTGCCTCAAAGGCGAATCCCCAGCAAACGTTTTGGAAAAATTGGTCACAACAAATGTGAAACATAGACAAAAAAAATGACAAAAATAGATCTTAATGCTAATGGAAAAACCATGGATAACATGTGATAAAATATAAATGAATCAAAATGAATCAAACTGATTCAAAATGTCTGACGAGAACTCAGTCGGTTAAATGACCATCGTCATCATCGTCACCGATGAATACCGATGATTTGTCCCATTTTTTTCCAAGCTGCGGATAGAACTGGGACATTCCAACTTCTGCTCGACCTGAGACATCGCAGCGGTCTCACCACGCCGCGTTCCCGCAAAAGGGCCATAGGGATTCAATCTGGATTCAACCAGCCAAAAAAAATGATTGAATGGGCATGTAACCAACAAGAATTGGGAGGCAACCTATGGCAAATTCTCGCAAATCTTCAAGATTTATCAAGATTTCCAGTGAGCAAGTTGATCCAATCATCTCCAGTGGTAGGACCTGGTAGGATAAGGCATGGATCCAGAAACGCCCTGACACTGCCCCATGGGCCGAGTCACCAATGAGTTCATCCTTGTGACCATGAGGTTTGCACGGCCTGAGCTTGACATTGCCATCTTTGATCACCATTTGATCGGAACATGCACGGCATTGCACGGCCAGGGCTCCGCGCTCGGCTGGCTTCATGTAGACATCAAACTCCAACCTTTCTTGGCTCAGAAACTCAGGCTTTGCTACAAGAATCAGGCGCCAACAGCAGCGCTGCTAGTCCCAGTTGCGGCAGGTTTTCTAGACCTGACCATAGCGAATCCTTCACATGCAACTTGTACATAGTTATATCATCTTATATCTAGATGATTCTACCATTTAGAAAAATTGAGGTTCCCGGCCAAAAAACGGCAAAATCTGCAAACATGTCTCCGGCCCCAGGTCCCCAGGGCCCCTAGGGCCCCTGGCTCTCCGCCCTGGCCCTCATCCAATTTAAGGCGGTAGTGGTTCCAGTGCCCAGCTTCGATGGATCGAGTGTCCAGTTTGATCTTCCCCAAACTGTCCTTGAAATGGCTGGATTTGGTCCTAAAACTGATGGCTGCAACTCTGTATGCACAAATTAGTAGTCAAATGGAAGTGTGTATATATATATATACACACATATGATCGCAGATGTATATGTATATATATATATATATACGCACATATGATTCATATGATCACATATGTATATCATTGTAAATTCATTGTATATCTATGTCCACAATGATGTACAGGGGGATGGCTAGTCTTTGCAACCAAACACCTACAAGCATCCACCAAATGTGGAGTACCTAGTCTGTTTCAGTCAAGTGTCATCCCTCATCATGTTGCTGTTCATGACCTGCGCAACACCGACTCTCACGCTGTTGCATCACTTTGTCACATGCGAAATGAGCATGGAGCCACATGGGTCATGAAGGCCCAACGGATGAGTTTTCAGCTGTTCACCAATTTCACCCTACCTCGAGATATAGGTAGCGATCCATTTGGTGGTCCAGCACGTTGAAGGCGAACTGGTTCCGCTCCTGCAATAGATGGATCAATGGATCACCCCTCCAGGAGCAGCCCAAAGTCCCCAGACCCATGGTTGCCATGGCTCCTTCCACACAGGGTTCAGGTCGTTGTTGATGGTTGGCGTTTGTTGCAGCATCTCCCCCACTTGCGCGGTAACATAGGGGTCCGACCTGAGCTGATTCGATGGCTACTACAACAACCAAGCCTCTTATCTGAAGTTGCCAAGATGGCCGACAATGAGGCTTCAAGACCCCAGCTACTTAAGACTTAAGTGATTCACTTTCGCCACGGTTGGGAAGTGTTTTTATACTCTGACTTGTACATAGTACTCATGGTGACTGGCCATTGCCATAGGCCGTGATATTATGACCAGCTTGAGCCGCCAGCACATCACCCATGACTCCAGGATCCCGGTTCATCAGGTTGTAAGCAGCGGCGACCTGCATCTTGCGGCGGATCGCGGCGGAGCAGAGTCCAAGTTGCTAAGATTTTCCAAGGTTGTTATAAAACTCACCTTTACCCAAACTATGACGTGGGCAGAGGCGACATCAAAATGAACAAAATCCCAAAAACGCTTCCAGGTAGGGATACGCCAACCCTTGGATCCCTTGGCAACTACCTAGACACTCCACATTTCAGCACCTGCAAATACAGCACCGTGGTATGTTCCACAGAAGGTGCTGCGGCCGTATGGTCCACTTCCACGACTGGTTCCTGGATCCATTTCTGGTCATCAGCTGGCTGGGAAATCCTAAATGGGGGTTTTGATGGGAAAATCGATGAGAATCATCGAACTGCATGGTGAATTGTCCATTGCCACATATTGCCACGTTTGATTGCGAGAGGGTACGGTAAGCGTGTTCGGAATCATACATATATATATATATATATATTTGGACGGCCAGATGGGCTTCAGGACAAACCCAGATGCGCAGCGACACATTGCTAAACCCCGCCACCGCTCCACTGGCTCCTTGCGATAGACTGCGAACTTCAAGACATCTCCAAAGCCCACCTTTGAGAGCACGCCCGTGTAGTCCCAGAGGGGCATCGGGCCCTGGCCGGAAAATTGGCAACATTGGCAGCTCCATTTTTCCTTGACCTACACCCCCCGGACCCACCAGAACCACTTTAGAATCAGATATATAGATTATATTAGATTATTGCATGAAAAAACTTATGTTATCTTGTGTTTCTAAACGGTTTCAGATGATTTGCAGCAGCATTTCCAGGTTGCCCCGTTCCAAGTCGGGCCTGAAGTTCTGGCGTTTGCAGCCGGGTATAGGGTTTGTTCACCACCTCAATCACGCAGTACCTTGTCATGGGACACGATTGACCAAAATGTCCATGATTTTCCCATAGGGTCCATGTATGCTATATATGGTAACATTTACCATCAATTATACCCCCAATGTTAGCATATATACCATACATGGATCCTATGGGTTTGGAATATCCCACCGTGCCCAACTTGAATTGTGGTGTGATACATGCCATCATGAATTATTGGAGGAACCACGAATTGTAAGCAACCGATGCCTGGGGCCCAACCCAAAACAGGGGGATCTCCCAGTGCCCCTTGGTAGCACGTGGAAATCTTGTTTCCACGGGTCGGGCTGGTCAAACCTGCCACTTGGTCCACCCAAACTGTTGGGCCCAAAAAAACGGCGTACGAACACAGCAGGATCCATGGTTGTTGCTTCCCTTGAATGAGTTGAACCACAGTAGCAAGTGAGTTCCGTCAGGAACATTCAGGAACCACGTGACGCCCACCTTTTGCTCCATCCACGGTTACTCCAACGACTGGAGGCACCTAGCCAGCCACATGACAACGGTGGTTCTGGGCTGCTGGATGCTGCTGGGAACGGCCGACCAATTAAGTTTTTGACGCCAGTGTTGTACTGCTCTCGTAGCAGTTCCATCTTCTTCTGCTGCTCGTGTTGATCCAAGAGCCTTCCGTGGGCTGCGGCTGGGAAAAAAAAGGGCAGTGGAGAAAACCGTGCAATGACCTTCCACCATCTTCCACCTCAAAAGCAACGAGCAGTTTACAACCCCAAGTAAGTCCCAGCTTTCACCCGAAAACATGTTGATTGGGGCCCAGCTCGCCTATCTTGAAGTTCGTCATGGGCCTTTGCCTGTGAGTCGGCCAAGTGTTGCCTCGGGCTGTCCATGACCAAGTTTGGCCGTTGTGACTCACCAAACTAAGTCCTAACCACTGTACTTCCACAGAACCCTCCAGATGCCCGTGATGTCCGTACCTCATCGTGCTGATGCTAAAAGATTTTTTTCACTCGCACGGATCCCGGTCAGGGCCTCCGGGTCTACAATTTGACATCGTGCAGAATGCTTGGAATTTTTTCTGGGTGCTCTGAGAGCGCCTGCGGCAAATCGTTCTTTCCAACATTTGAAGGATGGAGTTCAGGGTCGCGGAGACTCGGGTTAGCGTAGAAGGTATTTTCTATAGAGGTGGCCAAATCAGCTTCAGTGTGGAATCTTTTGGCATAGGCCGGGAGCCTTTCCACGCGGATGAAAAATTTGTGCGCAAGGGCAGCAGAGCCATTGAGCATAAACGAAAAATGCCAAACAACGTGGCTACCGTCCATAGCACTCAGTTCATTATCCCAATGCACGAAGCCTTGGTTACCTGCAAGGTTGTTCTTCACCGCTCCTCCTTCGCTGACAAAACCAATGGTTGTTGGATAGTCGGACTTGCCGCTGCCCCTGCTCCACGCAACGCTATAAGACAAGTCTTTCATGAGGACACGAGTTTTCCAAACACCTCCGGCTGGCTGGCACCTCTTCAAGGCTCGTAAAACTTTATGGCTCACAATCTCGTCCAAGTCCCCTTCCAAGAGCATGTCACTCTGGTCGAAGTCCCTGTAGGAATTGTGATCGCAAAGCTTGCCTCTGCACTTCCTGTAGCTCACCGTTGGGTATTGGCGGTGACGCTGGATTCCCATAAAATAGAATGTTGGTTTGTAAACGCAAAAAAGGTACATATGTGCAAATATAACTATATATGTAGATATTTCAAGATCAAAACAATTTTGGGATCTATCTATCTATCTATCCATCAATCAATCAATCAATCCAATCCAATCTAATCTAATCTAAACTAAACTAATCTAATCTATCTATCTATCTATCTATCTATCCTTTCTTTCTTTCTTTCTTTCTTTCTTTCTTTCGTTCCTTCGTTCCTTCGTTCCTTCGTTCGTTCGTTCGTTCTTTCGTTCTTTCGTTCTTTCGTTCTTTCTTTTTTTCTTTCTTCGTTTCTTTCTTTCTTTCTTGCTTTCTTTCTTTCTTTCTTTCTTCCTTTCCTTTCTTCCTTTTCTTTCTTTCTTTCTTTCTTTCGTTCTTTCTTTCTTTCTTTCGTTCTTTCTTTCTTTCTTTCGTTCTTTCTTTCTTTCGTTCTTTCGTTCTTTCGTTCTTTCGTTCTTTCGTTCTTTCGTTCTTTCTTTCGTTCTTTCGTTCTTTCTTTCTTTTTCGTTCTTTCTTTCTTTTTCTTTCTTTCTTTCTTTCATTCTTTCTTTCTTTCGTTCTTCCTTTCTTTCTTTCTTTCTTTATTTCTTTCTTTCTTTCTTTTCTTTCTTTTCTTTCTTTTCTTTCTTTTCTTTCTTTTCTTTCTTTTCTTTCTTTCTTTCTTTTCTTTCTTTTCTTTCTTTCGTTCTTTCTTTCTTTCTTTCTTTCTTTCTTTCTTTCTTGCTTTCTTTCTTTCTTTCTTTCTTATCTATCTCTCTCTCTGTGTCTGTCTGTCTATCTATCTACCTGTCTATCTGCAAGCTTGAAAACGACGCTATTCTGCGAGACGCCCTCAGGTCTTGAACTTGACAACATCAAAAACGCAGCAATACTTCCTCAATGTTTGAACTTGACAACGTCAAAAACGAAGCAATTCTGCGAGACTTCGTCATTTTTCAAAGTTGACAACATCAAAAACGAAGCAATTCTGCGAACTTCCTCAATATTTCAACTTGACAACGTCAAAAACGAAGCAATTCTGCGAACTTCCGCAATATTTCAACTTGACAACGTCAAAAACGAAGCAATTCTGCGAAACTTCCTCGTTTTTCGAAATTGACAACATCAAAAACAAAAGAATTCTGCGAGACTTCCTTCAAAAATGGAAAGTTGCGTGCAGAGCTGACGGCCTCGTACCGATGCGTTTTGCAATTTTTCCAGTCCATCTGTCTAAACTACTGCGCCTGTCACGAAAAAGTGATGCCAGGTCATACGAAGTGCTGCACCTGTCACGCAAAATCATCTCAGCAAACCTGAAGATCTGATGCTCCAAAATGCAACCCCTCTCAGGAAATCACCGCCCGGACCTCCTAACAGCTCTGATGAAGATGTCTCTTGTACAGCGCCTGCCACGAAAAATGCATCTTTGCAGATCCTCTTCAAATGTCCCACGCCTGCCATCGCTTTTGGAAATGCTACAAAACCAGCTCACTTTTGAGAAGGTGCACAATTTCTTGCGCCTGCCACGCAGGTTTGACTTCGAAATGTGCTTCGCGCCACAACGGCGTGCACTTTTTCGACATCTTAACTTCCAAAAGTGGTCCGAACGTGAGGTGCTTTTAGCTTTTTCACTTGGAAATGTGGTTCGCGCCACAACGGCGTGCAATTTTTCATCTCTCATCTGGCCAGCTGGCTCCGCACCCGCCGCTTTAGCGAGCCTACTTTTCGACCCTCCGGAGCCACAAATCATTGGAAAACACAGTGTTTCGCGACTTTCCTACCTTTTTGCGCACCTGCGTCTTCTTTCTTCTGACTCTTTCTCTTCTCTGATCTTCTCTCTTCTGCTCTTCTCTCTTCTACTCTTCTCTTCTCTCTGACTCTTCCCATCTCTGCTTTTCATCTGTCCATATTGTCGGAAGTTTGACTTCTAAACTTCCTTCGCACATTCTACAATAAGCCAATATACACCCAATCCATAGTTATATAGTTGCAGGGCTAAAGAATGAAGCAAGTTAGTTGGCGGATGTTGGCGGAACGGAGGCCAACACAACGGAAAAGATCCGTTTCACAGCCATGCCAAGCCAACACGTTACCGTCCGAAGCTGATAGGTCAGAAACTTGAATGACGCAAAGCCGTGCGGTTGGTCAAGTTATCAGGAAATCACCGCTAGATCAGATGGAACCTGGGTCAACTCTGTACCTCCTAATCGCTGAACGCAACCCTTCTTTGAAGTCGAGCTTGGACACATGCGTTAGCTCTAGAATATTACCTTACCTATTAATTATAGCAGGAACCAACCATCAAAATCAGTGAGCCATTCACCCACTCGCAGTTTCGCCATGAAAATGCTACTGCTGAAACAATTACGACATTGCACAGCTTGATCCTTGTGGTCTGGGATCCATCTGTTCTATAAAAAGCCGGGCCCAAGCCAACCCAAAACATAGAACAATACCCAAAAGTGATCCTGTAGCGCATAGCCCCGCACGCCCTCAGGGATCTTGACCTGGTGGTATGCGATCTTGTTTTTCCATGGGTCCCGCTGCCCGCTGTTCAGGATTGCATCGAAGCCGTACGGCTTCATCGCTCCTACAAAGTCGCGATCGCCCTCGACAATGTGAAACTCAGACACCTCCTCGCCCATCTCATAGAATCGAAGTAGTAACTCCTCCGCTTCATACGGAGAGACGAATGCAAAGGAGTCAATCACCTTTGCCGGCGACTCGGCGACGCCCTCGAACTCAGGGCGATTGCTTTGCTGGCTGGATCCCGAAGCAGGAAGTCTTGGCAGACATCATGGACAGAGGCTTTGGCCTGCATCATCGGGTGCAAAGCCGCCTTGGGTCAAAGAATTTGGTGCGGGCTTGCTCTGGTCGGCTGTAGATTCATTGATCTTCTGGCGGGAAAGTTATGGAAAGTTGCAAAGCTGCAGCCAGATCTGGCATGCCTCTGTCCTCGCAGCGTCAAGATGGCACCGCTCATTCCCGCCCAAGGGACAGGCCCCGCCAGGCGCCCACAGCCGCGGAAGAAAGCAAGGCAAAGAAAACAAGGGCCATGGGCGTTGATTACGTCGGTTTATGGAACATAGGAATTACAGTATGTTTCAAGTTTTATCTTCAGGCAGACCTTGAGCCAAAAACGAAATTGAACATATTGATGTCATTGCCTTCGAAACCTTCTAACTTGTGTATGAATAGGAATACGTGAGAAGACTAAGTGGCTTCCACCACAAAGGAAGTTTAGTTATTGTCCTGAAAAAAGTTGCACTGCCTCACCCATGTCACAACTCCCAGGGTTCCAATCACCACCACCTGGACATAGCACTTCTGTAAGTGCCGAGGCGCTGGAGATCTGCCGAACGGTGGCCCTGAGCAGCAACAGAAGCATGAAAATTGTGATTTTTTGATGGCCAAAAGCAATACACCAAGAAGGAGAAGAAGACGAAGAAACGTCGTCGTCGTCGTCATCATCATCGTCATCGTCACCGTCGTCGTCGTCGTCGTCATCATCATCCTCCTCCTCCTCCTCCTCGTCGTCGTCGTCGTCGCTGTCGTCCTCCTCCTCCTCCTCCAGCAGCAGCAGCATCAGCATCATCACCAGCGTCAGAGTCAGCATGGGCGTCAGAGCGTTACCACCGTAGATTTTTTTCTGTTGATAGTGAGAAGGATGAATGATGAATGATGAATGAGAAGGACAAAACGATGTTGATAGTGATGGCTAGGCCGGTTCTCATCACCAGTATGCTGATGCTGCTCGTCAGCAACACCGCACCATGAATCTCCAGGCGAATGCCAGATACGTATCCAGATATCCAAATCCATCCGGCATCCCTAGAATCTCGGAGGAAATCCATACCGTGGTGTCTCTAGGTCGCGACTATACAGCACAACATTGACCAGGAAGACACAACCACTGAGAATGGAGATCACAACATCAAACGATCATCATCGGTTCCAATTCAACATCTCACCATCTGTCCAATTTCAACAAATGATCACACTTTTGGTGCTACAGCAACCAATTCCCAGCATGCGTCCATCATTTCCACCAATTTCCAGCTGTAGGCCCTAGACAATCATTTGTCTATCATACATTATCATACCATAATTTTCAGCCATTTTCCTTCAGCGTTTTTCACCAAGGCGCCATTTCTAGGGCCTTCTCCGCGGCATTTTGCTGCTGCTGCCGCAACTGTTCCAGCTGCTCAGCCCGACGCCTGTGTGGAGCTATGTGGGATAGGTGGGATGCATTGGGATACATGTAATGTCTATGTAATATTATGCAATGTCTCTATATTATATATATATATATATGTGTGTGTGTGTGCGTGTGCGTGTTTGTCTGTATCTTGTTATATCATTTTATATCCATCTACCTACCTATCAATCTATCTACCTATCTATGTATGTGTATGTGTGTGGGGGGGAACCATATCCACATCATTCTATGTATATCTATCTATCTATCTATCTATCTATCTATCTAACTACCTATCTATCTATCTCATCTCATCTAATCTAATCTAATCTAATCGAACTATCTCCACGCGCCATATAAGATATATGGCATTACTTTGTGTTAACCAATCCTAATGTTCATAATGCCGATATCATGTCGATATCATGGGGATATCAGGGGAATATCATGGGGATATGTGGGGAGTTGCGGGAATGGAGATATTTGTTCACCAACCATAGTGGGGATATATTGGGAATTATTGGGATATAGAAGCAACCATGTGATTTGCCAACATGAAAATGGAGGGTAAGCACCAAAAATGATGGCATAACGGAGAAAGTAGGAAAATACTGCAACATACTGTACTGCAACCCGTTTCGTCAACGAAACATTCTTCTGAATGGTGAAAACCCTGTGAAACCCCGTGAAACCTCCTGGATTTGGGCCCTGGATTCATCAAGTCATTGGGGGACCACAGCCGGCCGAGGCAGCAACTCTCTTTTTTTGCTTCGCGCCTTCGCTGGAGAAACTCAGCTTTTGGGGGTTCGTAGCCACCAGGCCACCAGGCACTAGGTCACTAGGTACAACTGGGGTGGTCACCCCCCTGTCGTTCCATCGCTGCCTCGGCTGCTTCGCTGTTAAAGGCGCGCCTTAGCCGACCGAGGCTTTGAGCATCTCCGTCAGAACTGACTCCATCAGTTCCCGCGGCACGGGCAGCGGATGATCGATGCTGCTGCCCACGGAGGTGATCACCGTGCAACGGATCGTCTTGCCCTGGTTCTTCCTGGAAGGAACCGGGGATCAACCGGGTCAGGAGATGTTTCCCCGCCCAGTCTTCGGAAATTTATGGAAATTCTAGTTCGAGAAGTGGATCTTGGAGTGGTTGACCTATTCATAACTATTGTTGTGGAGGCCAGTAAGTTGATGTAGAGGAAATCTACGGCACACGCCTATGTTGTTACTGTGAAGCATGGGGCGTTTGGATTCATGGGGATTTATGGATTCATGCGATATATAGACATCATATAGATGGCTTGGTGAAAGTCCAATTGGTTTGACGTCAGTGGGTAGATTTAAGAAAAGAAAAGTCGCAGAAACAATGGTTCTTACCCCATGTGGGGTCTAACGATTGAATATGATTGAATGATACCCAAGAAGTTGAAAGAAGCCCAAGTTTGTCATAGTTTCAAAAAAGTTCTGTCCAACCTCCAGGACCCATATGACCACAGATCCGACAACCCAGCTGCTTGTCAACCGCCATCTTCTCCATCAATTTCTCTAGAGTTAAGCCTTTGGGTGCCAGCACCGGCAGCCCATACCTCAGGCACTGGCCATCTTCCAAGCCAGGGCGCCGCCAACCCTCAACCACCCTGGCCCCCGGGGTCAACCCAGGATTGATAAATGCCTAGTTGATCAGCAGAAGTCGTGCCCAAAATATCCTGCCACATCACATTGGCACTCCCCCACCCTTGCGATATCCCGTAAACAGGGGTTCAGGTTCTGTTTATCCTGGGTTGACATTGTGGGCGACGCTATGGTTAATCAAAGTTAATTCAAACTTGATATTTTACTAAATCCCTCTAAATCCAACTAAATCCCTAGCCATATCATAAGTTGCGAGCACTACTCCCCACACAAAACCAAAGGTCGGCCGGGTCTGGGGTCCCCAGCTGCTCGAAACATCTCCGGATCACCGGCACGTGGGCCGCCTCGAGGTGCCCCATCCGTACCGCCAGCTCCGCCTCCCAGACGCAGCCAATGGAGACGCACTCGCCGTGCAGCATCTGGGGAGACACCAGGGCCTAACGAAGTCGGGGTTCGCCTCGCTGGAAATTGATTCATTGGATTGGTTTAAGGGAAAATCTACAGGAAACCATGGTTTTTACCATCAAATATAGGGCTTTCCTGTAAATTTTCCCATCATCCAATTCTATGATTGATGGAAGTGATGTTTTTTTTGGGGTATGAAAACTAAATCTATGAAATCATGAATCGACAAGGTGTTGAAAGCAGCCTATTTAAGAAGGGTCAATCCTGCTGATCCATAGCCAAGCAGTAAAAATCTTGCTGCTGGTGTTGTGTGGTGAGAATGACAATGGTGCTGATTGCTACGAGTACTTCCAACATAAAACATCAAATGCACACATGTTCAGCCGGCCCGCCCAAACACTGGTGGGTTTTGAGACTTCAACAAAGGGGGTTCTCAACCACGAGCCTACCATGCCCACATGCAACATTCATGGGCCTTTACCAACCAACACGGGCCCCAGCCTCAATCGCATGCCCAATGGTGTGACCATAATTCCTCAGGATCTCACACTTGAGCGTCACTGCTGAAATTTGCCACTCCATCATAGAAGTTCAATATGCACCCTTACTTCCGCTAAATCTATGCAGCTGAATTGTAATATGCATCAAATGTACATCAATGTCATCAATTTTAGAAGATTCTAATAGCATCTAATGGTATCCAATAGTATCTAATAGTTTCTAATAGCAATAATAGTATCCAATATATATATATATATATACACTATATTATATGTATATACGTAGTTTCTAATAACTCAAATCTCACATCCCAGCACCAAAACGATTCCACCGTTTCAACGGTTCCGGGTCTCCTGGGTCTCCTGCCGAGGCTCAGCGTGGCTCTGAGACCCGTCTCCTTTTCATCAATGGCCACGATGTCGGCCTTGTGCTTCACCGCTTTGTGCAACACCTGGCACCAAGTCGCGGCAACGGCGTCGAAGAAACGGTTCGTTGAAACTTTGCAGGTATCTGCGCGTAAATGGACCTTTACCTTATATCACACATTGCGTTACATTACAGCACATTACATTACATACATACTGTCATATATATATAATTATATATATATATGTGTGTGTGTTGATTTGTATCCATTTGTTTATTTATTCATATTTATCTCTCTGTGTGTGCGCGCGCAGATATACACATATACAGATACATGAAACTCATGCCCAAGTCTACAACAAGTCCACCTATGGAAGCAACATTGCGAAGAACCAGCTCCGGCCTCCTGCAAAAGATGGTTGTCCAGCGACATAATGGGCTCGGCATTGGCTGCCATTGTCTGCGATGTGGCGGCTGGGATTTGCTGATGAAACTGACACTGAGAATAGCCAATCTTAAGGGGAAAGTAGTGACAAATCCCTTCCTCCTAATACTAAACGTCCCCCAAATACTAAAAACAAGCTTCCATCTCCAGTTTCAGAAAATTTCAGATTGGCCAATTTGACTTTTAATTGATCCCCTTTAGAAAACAATTTAAAAATCAAGCTACCATTTGTATCCATTTGTGGGGTTTTCCCCTCTAATACTAAAAACTAGTCAACCCCGGGGTGTTTATTATTAGGGTCCGTCCGTTTTTTTTTAGTTTTTTATATTAGGGCTTTTAATTTAGCATTAGGGGGAAGCTTCGAAATCCAATTATTGGCAATATTTTAATTGCATTGTAAAGAAAATTAATTGATTTTGAAATCAGAAAAAATAGTTTTTATTATTAAGGGTTTTAATTTAATATTAGGGGGAAGCTTCGAGATCCAATTTTTTGTAATATTTTAATTTAGTTACATAAAGAAATCTAATTGATTTTGAAATCGGAAAAAATAATTAAGTAGTGCTCCATCCCTCTTAAGATCTGTTCAGTGGCCCCAGGGCAACATACGTTTTCAATTGTTTTCAACCAAAAGGCCAACTCACCGGATGGTATTTTCAAGGCCCACTTTCCAGACTTTCCAGGCCCGGGCCCATCCTCAAAGAGCTGGGCATCGCGGATCACTCCCATTTTGATGGCTTCAGCCAGTCCTTCCACCACCTCTCTTCGGCTCAAAGTGCTGAGTACCGTGGGGTCAGCGAAAATAACCTCAGCGACAACCAGACAACCAGCGGCATCGGCAACCCAGTGCGGGTTTGCAAAATAGGTAAAAAGAGACACTGGACTGGAAGCCTTTCGAATCTGGATCGTTGTGACATTCTGAGATTTGTTTCGTTGAAGCGAGCAGGTTTGACCCACAGGATCGCCACAAGCAGGTGATAAAGTTTGTGGGAGCAAGTGCTGACCATCAACCACCCCAGCCCCCTAGGGCAACAGGTCAGGATTGTCACAAAGTCATGATCCTTTGATCCTATTCCTTGCAGGGTCGACTCCAGACCAGCGAGCCGGTCCCTTGGGCCTTGGGTTGGTGGAAAGCGCCGATGAGGTTCTTCCCCGCTGGCACGTTCAAGGCAGTCTTGCCACCAACACTGCTGTCGATCATGGCCATGGTGGACGTGGGCACCTAGCAAAGTTGGTCCCCAGGTGTGGCCAGTGGGGCCGGATCCATATATATATATGCCAGGATCCATACATATATATATATATATGTGTGTGTGTGTGCCACAACATGCCATAGAAATCAATAGAATATAGGACCAAATAGGACCAGTATGCATTATGCAAAATTCTTCAAGCATGTTCAAGCCTTGAATGATCATGGTGCGTGCACCTGTTCACATTGTGGAAGCGCCACGGTTTGGGAAGAGTCATCAGCGAATCAGCCACGTCGGCAACAGGATCACTTCAGAACGCAGTCCCAGCCATCACTTCAGAACACACGCATCATGGGACTGGCAAGGGGCAAAATAAGCAACCCTTACAACTTACAGCAAAAAAAGATCCCCAGTGGAATGAACCCTTCCAGCCCATGAATAGCAGAAATCAGAAGGTAGGAGACCTTGTTCTGACCTAGCCGTTTAGGGTTTATTTGGGGGGGCGGGGGAGGTTCAGAACCAGCCATTCACGGTTTATTTGGAGGGCTAGGAAAGGATCATTCTACTTACATCATACATCATCATTTCAGCTTTCTTTCAAAGGTTGGAAAAGCCTATTCCACTCTAATAGCATTAGTAGTTTCTTCCTGGTGTTGGGAGACGTTGTTCTCAACCTAGCTATTTAGGGTCTATTTGGGGAACTTCTATCTAAATCTATATATATATACAGCGATAGTTGAGACAGCGTTCTAAAACAATGGTTGGCTCCGCGTTCTAAAGCGAGGGCCTTACCCTCGTCTATCCACATGTCAATCTCCCAGGATTGTGCCAAGACTGAGCACCCCAAGTGTGTGCCCTACAATACCATACAATACCTCTGCCATTCCACCCTCGCCAGGACAGGAGAAAGTTTGGTAGTTCCATGAAGTTCCTCAGCTTGGGATGATTTCCCGTATGTAAACCTTCATTTATGGCGAGGGCGCCGTGAGCTCGCTATAGCTCGCTATGATTTTTGCCTGACATCCTGACACGCCCCGCCTGCACCACTGGGATGCCCCTCATGTAGGTGGCTGCAGTGAAGCCGGCCAAATCGCCCACCACACCACCACCCAGAGCCAGGATGGCGGAATCGCGAGTGCACTTGTTGGACAACATATAGTCCTTCAAGGGTGGCGGACCTGGACCCCTTCATTTCGCGACCTCCCCTTGTGCCAAAAAATCAGCATCGCGGTGGGGTATGGATAAGACATGATGAGACCACTGGAAACCAAGCTACATGACCCCTCCCAAACTGTCTTGCTGTCTTGAGGGCACTGACAAACACAAGCATCAGCAATACTCCCTGCTTCCCCATGCAGCCTGTCCTCAATGCCTGCCTTGGTCTCCCGATTTTTGGAGGACTCTCCGGCAGCAAAGGCGTAACGAAGCACCTTACTGGGCCCTGCATTCTGCTTGAAGGCTTGCATCAAGCGGTCGCCGTAGTGACCTGGGCGATGTCAACCATGAGTCAATGACTGGGTAAAGATTTGTAGAAACAGTTGTTTTTTTCCACCGGAAAGTGGGCTGCCACCTCACATTTCAGCCTTGCAAGCACTGATGTCACGGGGATATGGGTAGATATGGGATTGTTTTCAAGCTGATTCCAATGTTCTGGTCCTGACCCAGTGGATGCAACTGGTCACAAAATGTCACAGCAGGTCACAGCATTGCTCTAAGAGAGGAACAGTCCACCGTTTCATCGCTCACGATCACCTCAGGACACCCAGTGATGCGAATCAACAGGAATGCATCTGTGAAGAACCAGATGTTCCCAGGATTACTGGATGTTTCATGATGTTTCTGAAAGTCGAGGAGTCCAATGTAGCAAAATGACCCCAATAAATCCGGCGACCCCTGACGTCAAGCAACGAGGGCTGCAGGCTTTAATCCCAAAGACTCCAATCGCGCAGGAATCTCGTCCAACAAACCCGGGGCAATCAGCACTCGACCTGAAAGCCATGAAAAGTGTCCGGTTGCACCTGATCCGCCATGGATGCATGAGGGCCTCAAGAAAATGTCCACTGAGTTCTGGCAGAAAAGGAAGATGTGGAAGATGGTGATGTCTTGTGCTATCTGAGAAGTTGTTGGCGGCCAAATGCATTCCCAAGGGTGAATGAGACACATCCCAACCAATCAGCCTGCTGAACAAACATGAAGTGTTACGACACCTGCCAGTAAATCCTACAAGGGATCCCTTCCTGTTTTGGCCAAGCCACTGTCGCCAATCACCGCGATCTCCTGGCAGGTGGCGGTGAACCATCCCCACTGGCCAGGATGGCCACACAACCACTGCAAGCTCAGTACGTCTTGTAGCCAATTTCCAGTTGACAAGCGAGATATTCCAATATCCCCCCAACCATACCCAAGTCTCACAAATGGACAGCATTGATATGTATGCATGCATGCATGCATGCATGCATGCATGCATGTATGCATGCATGCATGCATGTATGTATGCATGTATGCATGTATGCATGTATGCATGTATGCATGTATGCATGTATGCATGTATGCATGTATGCATGTATGCATGTATGCATGTATGCATGCATGCATGCATGTATGCATGTATGTATGTATGCATGCAATGTATGTATGTATGTATGTATGTCTGTCTGTCTGTCTGTCTGTCTGTCTGTATGCATGCATGCATGCATGCATGGATGTATGTATGTATGTATGTATGTAATGTAATGTAATGTAATGTAATGTAACGTAATGTAATGTAATGTAATGTAATATTGTGTAATGTTATGTTATGTAAATGTAATGTTGCGTAGTGTTATGTAATGTAATGTAATGTAATGTTATGTAATGTAATGTAATGTTATTTTATATAATGTTATGTAATGTTATGTAATGTTTTGTAATGTAATGTTATGTAATGTTATGTAATGTTATGTAATGTTATGTAATGGTATGTAATGGTATGTAATGTTATGTATGTATGTATGTCTGTCTGTCTGTATGCATGCATGCATGCATGCATGCATGTATGTATGTATGTATGTATGTATATCAGCAAATCGCGAAGCCACTTCCCAAGCATCATTATCCAAGTCATCAGTAGGATACACCCCGCTTTTCTCCACCTTTGCCTGTGTCTGAGAATGGGCCCATGCTACCCCCGAATTTGATGCTTGTCTCAATGCTTGATATTGTTTGATGAATTGGTCATCATTTTCAACAAAACATGCACTTACCATTTACCAACAAGGTTCCTTCACCCGTGTGCCACCGCGCGTGGGCGGCGGGGACCGGGATCTCGCCGCATCGCCGTTGCCGTTGGCCATGGCACCACACAGGCAACACAGGGCCAAAGGCGGGGTTCTGCAGAACCAGAAATGTGGCAAGAGTTGAAATTCCTCACCGCTTGGCGATGTTGGATTTTGTTGGACATATGTTGGACATATTTGACAGCAGAAAACGAGCTAACATATCTATATTCGTAATGATTTTTAGACCTTCGAAAATTCCCGTGCAACCCAAAGCGTTGCTACAACGGGGCAAACAAACCATTCTGTCAGTACTCGACATGCTCAAGGTCTGAAGCAAGGCACCCCTTCCCTCGCTTCGGTGCCTGTGGAGGGCTTCTGCATCCATAGGTCTCAATTCCTCCACGAACCAATCGATGCCTTTCTCCTGCCCATAGGAGTCCGGATGGAGTCAGGCTTATAATTGATTGTATGTATAGAATATATTTGTGTGTGCGCACTGTGTATATATCTATATCTATATATGTATACATATATACATAAAATCATATATATATATAATTATATATATATATACATACTCATATAATTATAGCATTCATTAGCCAGAGCCCATATTTTTGGTGACCATGAACTGAAATGTGGTTGCACTGCAGAATTTCTGAACCGTTGCCTCGCACCAAGCCGTCACTGGTCCCCCCAGCCTGAAAGGCTTTGGCCAGGTCCTGCCAAGTTTCATCGAAACGGCACCTCTGATTTGCCATACAATGTGGGCCCCCCCCAGTTATAAGTTGGTTTATAAGCCCCAGTAACTATAGTTATAAGTACCATAAACATCCATAAACCATAGTTATTGGAGTTATGTTCACCAACTTAGCTATCTTGGGGGCCCCACATTGTAGAAATAGATGAAACTTGGCAGCCTTTTGTCGGCCTGAAAGCTCCACTCCCGCGCGCACGCCAAGAGCTCATCTTGATGCTTCTGGAGGTCCTGGATGATATCGATGTGGTAACATGTGGTAACTACAGTCACATATGAGAACTGGATGTCACTGCAATCCCATTTCCAGCTCCGCAAAATTCACGCCTTGAATCAGGTTTGAGAGATTTTCTTGAAAAAGTTGAGCAAATTCGAGATGAAATCCCATCAAAATCACCATCATATCAAGTTCCAACCAATGAGCCTAAAAAATGAATGTATAGTATAGATCCAAAAACTGGTGTGTCCCGGGGGTACTCACTACTAAGGGGAGCAGATATAATTATACTGTACAAATGTCCAACCACTAGATTCTAGATTCTAGAACCTTCCTCCTCCAGCCGTGCCAAAGCAGCAATGACTTCTCTGTTTCGGCACCTCCCACGTGAAGGTTTGGAGCTTTGATCTCATCCTCTCGAAACTTCCTGTCAGCCGACGCCCCACTCCCCCACAAGATCCCACAACGATCCGCTGAACTCAGACAAAGATTCACTTCTTCGGACGGATCAACTGCTTGAGACATCTTGAAACTATCAAACCATGGTGGTTTCACATGGTTTCGCCACATTTCACTGGCTTCGCCCCTCCCAGTTCCAACAGTTTCCCTCAACACCGGACCTCCCATCTGCTCGGCGAGGCTATCTCGTCGCTTCAGCGCGTGCAACAAGACCCAGGCATCGTGAGGCTGGTGACCTTCCAGGTCTTGGCCGCCACCAGCTGAACCAGCTGGAGACTATCCATTTTCTGCAAGGTTTGGACCAACAGGATAGGCAGCGCATCAGTTATTCATCATATTTTTCTATCTCCACTCATCTTGAGAAAACAGCTTGACTCAGCCTTCAAGTTTGCAGTCTTATGGCTCATCTTCAGATCATCTGGTCCGCTAACATGGCTATTGAAAATGGCCCTATTCGTAGCTGATTTACCCATTGTAACTGGTGATGACCAGCCATTTTCCAATTTGTTTATGTTAATATTCTATAATATTCTTACTTCTCCAATCCAATTTACATAGCAAACATCGAAAACCAGAGGCTCCCCATCACCAAAGCCCCAAACATACCCAGCCCACCTCGCCCCAAGAGCCGCATGAAGCGACCATCCAAGGTCTGCAGCAAGGGGCTGGCCAAAGGCTGCGGTGGATCCAAGGCTGCAATGCGATGGCCTTGATGGCACATCTGGGCAGATAACCCTGTGGTAAACTAACACTTTGCTATTGTTAATTTACCTGTTATCAATGGATTGGTTTAAGGGAAAATTTACAGGAAAGCCCCATATTTAATGGGGAAATCCATGGCTTCCTGTAAATGTTCCCTTAAACCAATCCATTGATAATAGGTAAATTAACCATAAATGGGGGAATTTTCAATAGCTACGTTGGTTTACCAGAGGGTTTGCGCCATATTGTCAGGGGATATCACATATACAAATTATACAACTGGTTTCGTATGGGATATCTCCTTATTTTAAGCCATATTTCATCCATTTTCATATGGAATATTCCAATGTTCCACATGTATATGTATATAAATAACTGGGTATAAGATGGTATAAGTCACTTAACGGCTGCATCTGAACATGGAAGGTTTCTCCCCAACTGGCCATCAACAAATGGCCATAGGGTTTTAATATTAGCGGATGAACTATGAAATGTGGGGGGCAACCCTATTCCCAGACACACCCAAATGTGAATTGAAGATGATCTTCAAGAAATCCCAAAGGTGGATCCCTACATCTTCCAATAGTGTGAGAAATCAAAACTGATTGGCTCTATAAATTTAGAGTAACAACTCTTGGTTCCAAGAGCACAAGAGAATGACGACCAATAATTCATTGCCACACCCCAGACATCCGTCGTTGTCACAATGCCAACATGCAAATCACCATTGAAAGGTCCCAGCTTTGGGACTCTCATGACATTGGGGGCATTGAGGATCCGTAAGAAAACATATTTCAATAAGATTAAGTTTCAACTATTTGTCACCCCTGTGCCTCACCAGATTATCCCGGTCCGAGCTTCAAAAGACCCCAGCTCCGTACCTGCTCACCTGCAAACCACAAAAGCCATCGCTGGTGAACTGCCCTTAGGCTTAGGCCGCCTGAACAACCCCCCTTTTTGTGCATCAAGTTCATGGCTACATACAAGTGGGGAAGGACAGTCATGCCTCCTGCCATTCACTGTACAAGATGGAACCCCATTTTCCAGTGGGAAACCCACTCTGTCAAGAATCCAAATGAGCCACACACACAAATTAGTTTCACCGACGCCAAGCCTTTTGGGTGGTGAGATGTGCCGATTTAAATCGATTGACTTTGAAATTTGCTACAACCAGAGCGAGTCGTCAAATTTATCATGCGTATTCATTTGTCATTGATAATTATTCAGCAAATAACCAGGGTAATTACTTACAGCCAAATAACCCCGCTTCAAGCCCATTTCCACCATTTTCACAATTTTCAACCCCCAAGCCCCGCAACCCCAAACCACTTGCCGCCTGCACCATTTGCCCCTGCCCGGTCCGTTGCTGCCGCAGCAGCGCCAGCCCCACCCCGCCCAGCGCGTGCTGCGCCACTGCCAACTCACCCAGCCCGGGCGGCAAACTGCTGCCGTTGCACAGCTGACTGAGGCCACTGGCCTCGCAATGGGCGGCTTGGAATGTCTTGGATGGTCTTTGCGTTGATGGAGATATTTGCGCGACAGCTGTGTCAATGAAGTTCAACCTCCACAAACTGGAGGCCGCAAATTATCAGAAACTTGAGAGAGAGAGGGAGAGAGGAAAAAAAACAGGAAGAAAAAGTTGCCGAGTTATTTTTGGTAGATTTGGTACTCCCCTAATTATCTCCCACCCATCAACTTCCCTGGCGCCTCCCAGAAGGCCTGCGCCTCCTGACCGCCCTTGCGCCCCAAGGACAGTTCCATGTGCCTTGCGCTGGCATCCGAGCCCCAGCTGTTGATCCACACCTGCGCTGTGTGACATGTCTCTCCTGCAAGCCCCCATACCAGTCAGGACAAGGTGGCTTCTCCCATTTGAACCCTCAAACAACCCTAGCAATTTGATGTCAATTAGGGCAGCCGATGCATGTTGGCTCATCGGATATGCGCCCGTCCCCTGATACTAAATTCCTTCGAAAGGGCCTAAAAAATTAACAGATCCCTCCAAATATTTACAATCCATTGCATGTGGTTTGCAAACTCCGCTTTCCAGGCCAACACCATGGCTTGGAAGGGTACGGCCACAACTTTCTTCCACGTCCCAAGATTTAACTCACACCAGCAGCACCAGGTGGATCCAGGTGGCAAAAACATCAGTCAAGTTGCAATGATGAGATGTGGAAACATCTCTCTGAGATGTTTGGGATCTAGGCCCCAACTCTCCAGCGCAGCGACGGGCAAATTCGTCACCAGCAGCGTGGTATTCGCCAGGCTGCGGTACAGGGCCGACTGCCCCGGCAGCGGCGCGCCGGCGGCGTCACGGCCCCCGACGCCGCTGTAGTTCACCACCTATGGTAGGAGCCCTGGGGAAGGAATGTTGAAATGACTGCAACCTCCAAAGAAGTAACATCTAAAATGAATGAAACGCAAAAATAGATGGGTTTAAACAGAAGAAAAACCATCCCCAAATCCCCAAATGTTAGGTTCATGGCATTGGGTTCACCACATCTACACAAATCTGTTGAAATGGAACATCATAGTATCATAGAACTAAATGCAAGTGTTCACTTTCTCATCTAGATATCGAAACGTCCAAGTTTTGGTAAGTCCACAGCTGCCTACCTGCACGTTCTTCCGAGCTGTAAGATCTTTGTACAGCTGTGGACAGGTGTGCTTCCAGGGATCAGGTCGTTGAGGCCGCTCCAGCTTGGTGACCTCAATGGCATTCCCCATTTCTCGACTCAACCTATTCAAACCCAACTATCATATTGCATCATGATGCCATCGTGTATATATATATATATGTGTGTGTGTGTATGTGTGTGTGTATGTATTGACATTGATATTGATATTGATATTGATATTGATATTGATACTTGGTATTGATATTGATATTGCTATTGATATTGGTATTGGTATTGATATCGATATTGATATTGATATTGGTATTGATATTGATGTTGATATTGATATTGATACTTGGTATTGATATTGATATTGATATTGATATTGATACTTGGTATTGATATTGATATTGGTATTGGTATTGATATCGATATTGATATTGATATTGGTATTGGTATTGATATTGATGTTGATATTGATATTGATACTTGGTATTGATATTGATATTGGTATTGGTATTGATATTGATATTGATATTGGTATTGGTATTGATATTGATATTGATATTGGTATTGATATTGATATTGATATTGATATTGGCATTGGTATTGATATTGATATTGATACTGGTATTGGTATTGATATTGATATTGATATTGGTATTGATATTGATATTGATATTGGTATTGGTATTGATATTGATATTGGTATTGGTATTGATATTGATATTGATATTGATATTGGCATTGGTATTGATATTGATATTGATACTGGTATTGGTATTGATATTGATATTGATATTGGTATTGGTATGGATATTGATATTGATATTGATATTGATATTGGTATTGGTATTGATATCGATATTGATATTGATATTGGTATTGGTATTGATATTGATGTTGATATTGATATTGATACTTGGTATTGATATTGATATTGATATTGATACTTGGTATTGATATTGATATTGGTATTGATATTGATATTGATATTGATATTGGTATTGATATTGGTATTGGTATTGATATTGATAGTTGGTATTGATATTGATATTGGTATTGGTATTGATATTGATATTGATATTGGTATTGGCATTGGCATTGGTATTGATATTGATATTGATATTGATATGTATATTGATATTGGTATTGATATTGATATTGATATTGATATTGGTGTTGATATTGATATTGATATTGATATTGGTATTGATATTGATATTGATATTGGTATTGATATTGATATTGATAGTGATATTGATACTTGGTATTGATATTCATATTGATATTGCTATTGATATTGGTATTGATATTGATATTGGCGTTGATATTGATATTTGGTATTGATATTGATGTTGATATTGGTATTGATATTGATATTGATACTTGGTATTGATATTGATATTGATATTGATATTGATACGTGGTATTGATATTGATATTGATATTGGTATTGATATTGATATTGGTATTGATATTGATAATGATATTGGTATTGATATTGATATTGATATTGATATTGGTATTGGTATTGATACTGATACTTGGTATTGATATTGATATTGATATTGGTATTGATATTGATATTGATATTGATATTGATAGTGATATTGATACTTGGTATTGATATTGAAATTGATATTGGTATTGATATTGATATTGATATTGGTATTGGTATTGATACTTGGTATTGATATTGATGTTGATATTGGTATTGATATTGATATTGATACTTGGTATTGATATTGATATTGATATTGATATTGATACGTGGTATTGATATTGATATTGGTATTGATATTGATATTGATATTGATAATGATATTGATATTGATATTGATACTTGGTATTGATATTGGTATTGGTATTGATATTGATATTGATATTGATACTTGGCATTGATATTGATATTGGTATTGGTATTGATATTGATATTGATATTGATATTTGGTATTGATATTGGTATTGGTATTGATATTGATATTGATATATGCCATACAGTCTTTGCATGTCTTTGCGGCTTAAATCTCCAGTTCAATCTTTGTCGACCCAGCTTTGCAACCCCAACAGCAGTAGCTTAAGGGTTCAGATTTTAGGGTTCCAGGTTCCGTACCGCTTTTGAGCGGCATGCGCCCTTGATGCACCAGTCCCAAACCCAGGGATTGAAACTCACCAAGCACTGCTGCTGGGGCCAAATTCGACAAATCTCTCCAAATCCATTCAAATCCCACTTATCAATTTCATCAATGCTTTGCCGCTTCAACCTCCATTTCGAGCATGCGTTCCACATGTGTTTCCCTTCAAGATCATCGAAAAATCCCAGCACCGCACCCCAGCCCCTTCATCCGCGCCGCCCGCGCGCCCAGATCTGCCAGCAGTGCGCCCAGGGCGATGGCCGAGACCTGGTACTCGTCGCTGATTTCGATGACCGAGACACGCGCCAAGGGCAGCTCCGAGCTGATGGGGTTTTCGGGCTCCACAGCCTGAGATCTCCGATGAATTTGCCGTAATACGTCTGTTCCTACATGTTCCTACCAAACATAAGGTTCCCAAAATATCCCAAAATTGGTTTAAGAGAAAATGTGGCCGAAACCCCATCTTACTCTTTTTTGTCCTTTTTTTGTGGTAAAGACCGTGGTTTCCTGCGATTTTCGCTTAAACCAATCGCATCCAATCGCTCTCTATGACCAGGACACTGGCAGCAAGGAACCGGGATCCAGAACCGACCACCTCAGCACAGCACAGAGGGCCATTTCTCACCTGAATAGCATTACCACTAGGTATCATCATTGTCTGTCATCCTCATCATTCCTAACCCATGTCAACCCAAACAGCACTTTGACAAGTCGCTTCAAGTTCTGGCCCTCTGCTTTGCCCCGCTTCAGCGGCACGTGCCCCACACCCTCCACGTCAAAGGGCACCGGCGCCGCAGCGTTCCCCAGGCCCTCCGCCTCTGCAGGCCGCAGCTCAGGGTGGGACGCCGGGCGCAGCCAGCCGGTGAGAGCGCCCAGGGCAGTGCACCAACGCCCGGAGCGGAAGATGCTCATCTCCACACGATCGCCTGGAGCAGCCTTTCACCCTTCCAGAGCTGGGAGTTTCCTATCATTTACAGTTGCTCAATCCAATGAATCATAATGAATCTATTGGAAAAATTCCGGAGTTGACGGGACATCCTATGATTGATTTGTTCTTTTCAGTGTGGGTTTAAGAACGCAGATTATCCAAACCCCAGTTCCCAGCGCCTGGACAGCCACACCTGCGGCGCAGCAGCGCCAAGGAACTCACGCCCAACAAGGCGCTGGCCGCGCAGGCGGCCGCGAAGCCTGGAGGGCCTAAGAAGTGACCCAGCTGCTCCGCCATGCCTGGGAGAAAAAAAAGGAAATTATCGGAAATCACTGGCAGAATCTATGTGCCGTGGCAGAATTGATCCAACTATTTAATAATTTGGCTTGAAGTGATTTCTTGACATATCTGAAGCAAATTTCGGGGGGAAATGATGGAGATAGAGGCGCAGATGCCTACAACATCCTACAACGAGTTACAACGAGTGGTAGTGAGGCATCTGGAGGTGTTAGGCCTAACACATATTCAGCAAAAAAAGAGTCTAGGTCAAACATGGTCAAAATGCGTCATGCAAACCCGATGGTTTTGTGGCGTGATTGAGAATGACCAACGTTTGTCGGTTAGGGTTGTCTTTCATAGTTTTATGCAACCAGGGTTCCTGATAGGCAGAAGAACGCACCCGCATCATTGACGCCCTTGTTGGTGACATCTGCCAACATCCCAACAGCAGAGGTGTGAACAAAGATCAACCAAGGAAACTGCTGCCGTAGGGTGGACGCCCCGAGCCTCATTGGAACAGGAGGCCCCCCTTGTGACAGAACACCCCCAAGTTCGCTCACCTCACTCTGGAAACTCATGGTAGACAATGTCAACTATAACTAGCGTGAACTATATATAAGGGATGACAATATCCTGAAAGTTGTTTTGGCTCGCCCAGGAGCCAACAGATTCAGTCAAGTTTAGTACTTATGACTCCAATGCAAAATCTACAGTAAAGTTGACCTCTCCTTTAGAAAATATCGGTGGACTAGTGTCAAGGATCAACATCAGACCTGGCACCTGCCTCAAAGTAAGGTTGCACAACTCTACCTGAAACAGTCAGTGGAGAGGGTTGCGTCCATTCATAGAGTCCCAGAGTGCATTGTACCATCCCAATTTCCGGCCACATTCAGTAAGCTTAGCTGCCGTTGGACTTTCTTAGGTACAGGAGTAGTGCTGAAAAGCTGTATATATAGTCTTTTATATATATATATATATACATGGTTTCCATTATTTATAAACCAACCGTCTTGGGGATTCCCCATTTATGGAAACCCCCATAGATGCTATAGCTAAATTCTCCTGGCAACTGTTTGTCATCCAATTCGTCGGCAGGCAGATCAGTCAGGAAGAGGCTACAGGACATCAGCAAGTCCTTAGGATCACGCAGGGTCCAAATGGGAAGTCAACAGCCCCAGCACTGCACCATCCAAAATCACACTCAACTTTGAGCCACAGATCATCTGCAAGGAATCTGCAAATCTCTTCATCATAGTTGTTTTTCACCTGTTTACTTTGAACTTTGCCCATTTTCCAAAATGGTCCAGCCCAAAAGAGCTCGAAAACTCCAAACATTCCAGCCCTCCAAGAAAAAACATTGAGCCCTGGAGATCCATTGAGCCTAGCCTAGGCCATTCTTCCATCTCTTGCCACGTCTCCGACTTCATCCGCTGCAACTCCTCCGGCTTCTCTGGGTCCAGCAGCACCAGCCGCTTCCCTTGGTGCAGCTGCCGTGGGACCTCCTTCGGGGGCACCTGAGGCACCTGGCCGCCCTCGGCGCCGGGCCCGCGCTTCTGCAGAGCTTCGGAGCGGCTGGCCACTCGAATCACCTGCAAAATGGGCGCAGGATGTTTGAAACAATTGAAGGGGCTGCCTGTTGCCTTGGATGAGTGCGTGTGTCATTTTTGAGTATCAAGCCATGTTTTAAGAAGCTCAGCCACATTGTTTTGATCGTCTATTGAACATATCCTTACAGTCCTCACGGCTTACTGGCATACGGAACCATACGACACCGTCACCATCATATGAGCAATACGCGCACAGATGTGTATATCTATCTATCCATCCATCCATCCATCCATCCATCCAACCATCTATCTATCTATCTATCTATCTATCTATCTATCTATCTATCTATATATTTATACACATATCTAACATATATATATGTGTGTGTGTATAATGACCATCCATTTCTACGGACCTTCATCGTTTGAGTTTGGCCCATCGGCACCTCAGCTCCAAGGGCAGCCATCATCTGCCCACACAAGGCGGCCGTCCAGGTACGGCGGGTGAGTTCCAGCACCCTGACGCCGTGCCAGGGCAGGGCATGGCCTTTGGGTTGGAACATGCGCGGGCCCTGGTACTCCAACTCATCCACCTGGATGGAAACGAAGCACTGGATGGATAGCCCCCACTGGCTGTGGGATGTGGTGAACGCCCCGGATTAGATGGATTTAAGTGGACTTCAATAGATTTCAAACTGGATCTAAACGCATTGAAATCTATCCTTTTTGAGTCTTTGGTATTCAAAAATCACCAAAATTTGTTGGATAGCTGATTCGGGGCCAAGGATTCTTTGGCCTACTGATTTTCCAAGTTACATGGATGGGTTCATGATGGTTTACTTGCCTGCACCCCAGGCCTTGCTGGGAGCTGCCATTTGTATACTGGAAATGTCAGAGACCAGTTGCATCTCGAATTCGATTTGGCTCGTTGTGCCAACTAGCGGAAGCTTGTGCCTCTGCCACTCACCTGGCTGTTGATCTTCGTGTATGGCGATGGTGACCTTCCCTAAAACTTCATCTTTGTATGCGTTCATGCTCATGATCTGTAGCTCCAAGCTACTGGCATCCAACTTGAAGATGTGCTCATTATCTTCGGTCCACACGGGATTAGGGTCATTCTCCATGCACGAGGTGTGGAAGGTCTCCCTCCCCACGCGGGCGCTCACGTAGGGGTCGGCCAAATCTCCTGGCAGCCCAGTGCTGGACGTTTTCAGATTGTAGGCTCTCAAGATGCGAAGCCGCAGACCCTGCCGACTGCGACTCACTGCAGGCTGCCCAAGACTGGAGTGGTAAGCTGGGGCATAGGGCCTGCACATGGAATCCATTGCGCTCCCAACTTGGCAAAAACCCATGAGAACTCTGCTTGGAAATGATTTTGCCACTCACCCTGATGATTATCCCCATTAGAGGGGCTGGACACAACCTACTGCCCATCCAAAGACGCCAATAGCCGCAATAGCAACAGCCCTAGCTCGAGAAGTTCCCTTGGCCGTGCCTGCTGCTGTTCCCCTGCGGAGGCAGAAATCCAAAGATGCCGAAGGATCGATCAGACAGCGGCGACACTGGCAGGGTCGACTCTTCTTGCAGCCCGGCGGTAGGAGATGGCAACTCCAAGTCCTGTAAATAATCCTTCTCAGGCCTGAAAGTCTGGAGGAAATTGTCAACCAGAGGTGGTTGCTCCGCGAGGGGGGATCGAATTTTCATCTTCAAGAGTTGAAGATCCAAGATTACAGTATCAAAAAAAATGGAAAAAGTAACAGATCCAAAATAACTCCAAATCATAGGGTGATGTCTCCTTGATGCATTTTGGTTTCTGCTTCCCTCGGCGCCTCAGCACTGTGTCTGGCCCTGGTGGCCCTGGACCACCTGGACCCCCTGGAGGCCATTCTTCTAGCGGCTGAGGCTCCTGGGCCAGGGAACGGCATCCACTTTTTAGTGACTTTTAGTGTCTGCTTTAAAGGGGGAATATAACATATATCCAGTGTATCCAATATATCCAGTGATATTTCCATTTTTTCCAATGTATCCAATATATCCAAGTGTCAAAATGGCTACCAAAACAATTTAAAAGAAACTTGCCGATGGTGTGGCTGGTGTGGGTAAGGATAATTCAAAACCCTCTGAAAAACAGAATGGTCGCCATGTTGGAATGCCAATCATTTGTCATTTGTTTATTTTTCGTCAACGCTTGGGGACAGGACTGGTCCCCATCCGCGCCTGCTGTGCTACCTCAAACGGAGCACTTTGGGTAGCCTCGTCACCACCCAGGGTGAGATCCTCGGCGTTTCTGGGACTCCCAATGCAATGGGATGGGTGGCAAACCGCCATCCCCAATTCTGGTTTGTTGTATGAATCCTAGTCCTTACATGTCCTTACAACTTACTACCCTGGCATGGGTGTTTGCGACAACTTGAAATCTTAATGGGCAAAATGATGATAAGGCCTGAGATATATTTGGTATTATTTGGTGCGTTCCCCACACTATTCAAGCAAACCCGGATGCTCAGCCTCCCTTCGAGAACCAAGGCTCTTTGTCACCCTCGTTGGTTTGCTCCTTCTTCTTTTTCTTTTTGCCCTTCTCTTTGCTCCTGGCGGGCGCCTCCAAGGAAACTGAGCCGCCCATCGAAAGGTCAACACCTGCATGGCATGGGGTTTCAGAAAGGGCAAACATGCTACAGTTGAGACGATTGTGCGTACCTCTCTCTAGAGATATCTAAGATTTATATCTATATCTATATCTGTGTGTGTGTGTCTCCCTCTCTCTCTCTGTGAATTCATGACTGAAAGCTGTTTGTTCAGGACACCTGCGAGCAACAAAACAAGTGCGATATGCCATCGGCTTCACCATGGACCACCAAGGCTCCGCACCTCGGTCTGGCACCAAGCGGCTGGAACACTGGGTGAGAGGGGCTACCCTCCCATCCCTGCATGCCAGGCCCTAGGCCCCCAGGCCCCAGGCCACCAGCAACTGATCTTGGAAAAGAGGTGTTATCCCACTATATCCCACTGGGGCCGCAATCCGCTGCATCTGGGTTCAAGCTCCCTGGGGGAAGTGGATCTGGGCCTATGATGATGATATTGGCATCAGTTGCTTTGACATGAGATTGTATGCCTCTTGAGCCTGTGGCTGTCAGTGCCTGTGGCGAAACATCCACTGAAAAACTCGACCCAACTCCCACTACTTCATTCCGTGGCATATAGATGCGTCATCTCTGTTTAACCTAAGACCACCCAAAAAAAGATCAAGCACAAACCTTAATTATCCTCAACCAAGAATGAGGTTTTCCTCTGTCACCTCATCCACAACACACCGACAACAAGGCCCGCCACACCCCTTTTCGCGGCTGTGGAGTAATCAGGGGATCAAAAATGCCTGGTGGGTCAAAGCGATAAGAACCGTCCAGCGATCCAACGCATCAATCTCCCCATGGATTTCCCTGGGGGTTTCCACTGGGAAAAGGAGTCACTTGAAGCAAATCGCAATGGAAGTCACCAAACACCGTTGTGATTCTTTCGCAACTCGACCCCAGGCTATTCACACAGATTGATCTGCGCTAAGCGCAACGCGCTCTCACAAGGATTAGAAGAACTAGATGCAAAGTCCCTGGGAAGTTCTTCCAGGGCTATGCCCAGCACTTCGGAAAATGCGGGAAACACCCGAAGGTGTGTCAAGCAGTCCACTGGTTTGTTCCCAGCAGCTGCAGAAAAAACTCATGGAGTGAGTCAGATGTTTACATGCTTTTCGGGTCCATGTTTGACGCATCCATCTTTGAAGCATGATAGATACAATGAAAAACACATGTCACTTGAAACTTTGCGACTTGTGGTATATTTATATGCATATCTATGTATATATATATATCATATGTATATAATATATACACATATATAATTCATTAATCAATGCAAATCATCGATCTGTTGGATCCATCACGCGGCTCAGAGATGGTCGCCTCAGGTGGCGCTGACTTAGTAGACCTCCGTGACCTTTGGCAGCAAACGATGCTGACGTCTGACCGAGGAACCAATGGATCCAAGGGTGGAACGGTGGAACCCCCATTTCTGAGGCCCCCAATCTCGACCCATCTTCGTCAAAAGCCCAAAATAGGTTCTGAAAGGTCTGGACATCAGGGTCCCCAAGCATAGCGGCCCGCCAGCTGCAAGCTTTCCATCTTCTTGTGGGCCTCATCGTTCTTCAGACCTTGGCGCCCGGAAGGCACGGCCAAATTTTGGCCAAACGTTGCATGTCACTGGGCCGACCCACCACCTTTCGTCTCGAAGATCTTGATGAGTGCTGCAAACACATCCTGGACTCTGTGTTTGCAACGGCTTGGCCCCCAGGTTTATCGGCTTCACCAAAGGAACAAGCGTATTATGCACCATGCATTTGCAGATGCAAATGTATGTGCATGTGCACGTGCATGCGTACTTGTGGTGTTTGGGTGCGTAAATCAACAATAAATCATAAATCATAATAAATCAATGTAATATAATGTAATCATACATATGATGTGTGCGTGTGTCAATCAGATTTCTCCTTCTCGGGCTGCTTGGAGCCACACAGGAAGAAGTAGCCCCGGGAGCCTTCTCGCCCCAAGTTGGCCCAGATGTCATCCTGATAGGATGAGTTGGTCACTCCTATCTGATGGGGAACTGGGGGACCAAACATCCAACAAGAACGAATGGACCGGGGTAAAACAATTTCAAGCCATAGACTACAGTACATAGGGATCATGGATATACCGCATATATTTATATACTTACATATAATAACAATAATAATAATGATAATGATAATGATAATAATAACAATAACAATAATAATATATAACTATATATTTATATATATATAACTATTTATATATATATAACTATTTATATATATATTATATATATATATAACTATTTATATATATATTATACGTAGTTATAGGTATATTTATTTTATAAGCCTCTTTCCTTGAAGAAAGGGCTGCTCCTCCCGGTCGTTACAATCTACCCAGAATAGCGCATACGACTCAAGATGGCCCGGAAGGGAAGTCTCGCGTTCTGAGGTGCACACAGCCTGCTCCATAATCTTGTGCTGCACATAGACCTGCCAAAGGATGCAAACATATGCCGGAGGGCTGCATTTGAATTTCAACTCCAAACTCATATGTGCCAGGGTCGGCCCACTTCTTGGAGTTGAGGTGCCTTTCCGCCGCACGTTTTTCACCCTGCAGTTTCAAAGTTGGGGATGTTGGGGTGCCTTACGTTTACCCTGGTGTCAACATGTGCAAACTAAGATTCGATATGGAAAACCATGGTTTTCCTGGGAAATAATGTATGTTCCAACAAAAATAGGATTGGTTTTCCATATCCAACATATCTATGTCATTCTATGTCATCTCTTTTTTTGGGTTACTGGTGACAAACAATGGCCCGGCTGCGCCCGTCGCACCTTCTGTTTCTGGTCTCGGGACCAGGCGTTGCAGCACTTCACCAGGCCTTCGGCCTCGAACTTCTCGAACCTGAGCCACGCCAAGGTGTCTGACGGGGAAATCATCAATTCAACCGACTCCATTTTTTCTTCATGAAGTGATCAATGGATTGGTTTAAGGGAAATTTTACAGGAATCCCCCATATTTAATGGGAAAATCTATGGTTTCCTGTAGATTTTCCCTTTAACCAATCCATTGAAGTGAATAAAGGAAAAACTGAAAAATATACAAATGGAAAGGCAGATGCGGCATGAGCAAAAACTCATAAAAAAACTCCACCATTCCGGAATTCCGGGTGTTTTTTTTAAGAGCGATTCATCAAGGCCACGGGATACCCCAGGGGCCCCCTGCAGGGGCCTTCCATCAGCATTGAGGTGCCCGGCTCATCACGGTAGTAGTACTCCGCGTGCGCGTGGCGGCCACCGAAGAAAAGGGTCATAGGGCCCACCCGGTGGCCCTGGTTCTTCTCGTGCTTTCGCTGCTCGATGAATGCCTGGTCGCAAGAGACCAGAGACATGACATGACATTCCCACTGAAGGGAAAACCCAGTCCATGTCCACATGGTTCCTTCAAAAAATGGCCCGCCAAGAAGCATAGGATAGCCATTGGCACAACTAAAGAATGTCGAAAAGAATGTCATCATTATCAGTGTCCTGCAGGTGTCGCAGTTCTTTTTCTAAGCTTTGACCAAGTTTTCAGTCATACCTGGGTTGAAAGAACCTTCTGACTTAAGGATACTTAAGGAAGTTTCGGGAATGTTAGGCCAAAAAAACGGCCAAGTATAGTCAGGTCGTCTCTTTCACCTTTGACCCAACAAACTACCCGTAGATGGTCACAACAAGGCGCTCGGAAAGGCGCGAGTCCAGTTCCAAGACCAGCCATGAAAATCGGCGCCGTCTTGTCCTGGCACCATCCGCACCACTAGTGGCACCCTCCGCTGGGAAAAGGTTACAAAAATTTGCGAAACCTCTAGGTGTCTATTATATATATATATATACATAATCATATGTATATATATATATATAATAATGATCAATGATTAATGATTAATATATATATATATAATATAATATAAAAATTATAAAAAAAAATAACCATTGAAACCTGAATCTCCAAACCAAAGTTAAGACTCCAACACATCTTACCGTCTACGTGATGGATCCGATACGCCAATCAACTTTTGGCAGCTTCCCACCTCTGGAATCTGCATCACGGAGTGTGTAGCATGGGCAACGCAAACGGTTCCGGGCCTGCGAACGGAGCGGCTGTGGAATCTGGCTGCTTCTTGAAATTAAGGACCCCAAATCCATGAGATTCCTGACCAAAAATATCGAAACAAAATCAATCAAAATCATTTTTATTGGTGAATTTTAAGAAACACCATATCATAGTGAATTCACCATGTTGGAGGTCAGCTGCATTTTCCATCAGCACTCGATAGCACTCGTACGATCCGTCCGTGAAAGGTATCTGTACACATCTGGGCGCGGAGGGCCATTGCGTGCCCCAAAATTCGATTATGTTTTTAATATGTGTTTATATCATTTTCAGACACACCTAGCCACCCAGCAACAGTTTGTTGGAAAACCCCAGCCTCAAGAAGGTCAGGAAGCTGGAGCAAAGACCAAACTTGGTGTCGCCACCTCAAGGAAGCTGGAGCTGAGGTGGGCCAAAAAAGATCCAAAAAAGGAAGCCCTGATTCGGTCATGCTAACCCACATCCCCATTTGATCGGGTATTTAGGCCACATCTCAGCAAGCCAGGATGAACAGTCGGAGATCTGATGAGTTTCTATGAGTTTCTATGAGTTTCTATCATACCCACACGACTTCCCCTTGATGTAGCCACCTTTCGCTTGCCAGTCTTCACGCACCACCAACAGCTGGCACTTGCCAGGGTGGTAGTCGCTGGAGGAGCAAATGGAGTAGACACCTCGCTATTTTCCAGATCTGAGGTTGTGGCTCCATTGGTTTCCATATCGCCAATGTTGGTTTCTTATTCGGAATGCCGTTTTTTGGGGGGGAGGGATAATGTATATAATGTAGAATGACCTGCAATCTCGTTGGTTACTGGGATGGCTCATGATTGGGTTTGGATACATTCTCAATAGCCTGTCATCATGATTCATCTGTCCTCTGGCAGAAATCGCCAGAACCCTGGAAGCCCCTCACGCTGCTTGATGGTTGGGAGAATCTCCACATACTTCGCCACCTGTCAGTCTTCGCGTGGAGAAGTATCAACCATCTTCTGGGCCTGGAGAAGTATCAAACATACCATCTGGAAATCTACCATGGCCATGGCAAATCATGGAAAATTGCCCATTTAGTTCAGGATGATTTGCCTATGAAAAATTATCGTGTTCCATGTCAAACTGGTAAATTACCAGAGGGCAAACCATTTGTGGTGAGATCCTACATCGCAAAAATAGGTTGAAATATGTTGAAATGTCAGGCATCAGCTTTCCAAGGACTCCAAAGTTGGAGCTAAGTCCAGCACAGGGATCTTCAACCTTAGCAAACACAGAGATGGGCGACATCAGATGCAGGCCATCTCCGGTCTGCTGCAAGTATAGTCTTACTGGACACCGGAACTTGTTGGACAATACTGCGACTCAACTAATATCAGCAAATCTTGATCAAATAAATTGCCGTAAGTGTAAACTGTCCTTTTCTATCCTTTTCCCAAGGCCAAAAAAGGTGTGTTCCTCCAGGCAGGCGACGATTTGCACTCGCAAATGTAGTCCGCATAGGTGTAGGCGCGCGCCTGTCGATCCAAAAAGTCCTGGCCACACACCCCACAGGCCCAGCCACTTGATAGCTGAACCGAAGAATTCGTGGGGAAAAACCTGAAAGTTTCTAGTGGATAATCCCACCAAATAAACCCACTGCCATGGGCGAGGGCCTACCCCCAGGCCGATGGATGCCGAATGGCCCATCCTCTGACTTTCTGTCCAAGGTCAGTTCTGCAATGGCCACCTTCTCCATGATATCCTGCGCTGCCACACCCCTAGTTCCCAAAAAATGGGAGGATATATATATATGTGTGTGTGTGTACCATCTGAACAGATGTAAAACTTCTGATTGGTTTTCACTAATTTGCAGGGGGGTGCAGAGCACAGTGGAGACTGCACCCAACGAAGCTATCCACTTGTGCTGGAAGCAGAGTCTGATCAACTCTGTGTACCTGCAAAATTTGGTTTCAACTGTTGATCAAGCTGTTACACTGCGTTGTTTCGAATCTACACGGTTGCCACAATCTGTATTGCATGCATCAGAACCTTCCTCAGATTTTCGCCGAAACCATATCGCCGACAGTATTATGTTTTTTGACTTATTTTCGCCGAGACCCTGTCGCCGACGAACTATGGGTTATTTTGGGAAACAATCGCCGAAACATTATTTTGGATTTCAACATGCTGGTCAAAACTCTATGGAATCTGGTTATGACTACGTTTGACAATTTCGGATGCCCTACATCGTTTGCGAGAAGTACCTCATGTGGCTCTTTTATTCATCAAATAATCTAGGCTGGTTTGCATGTTTCAGGATTCAGTTCCTGCCGGATCATATAATGATCCATTCTTGTCTAGTGTGATTTCCATGGTGGCTCCGACATGGTGCCATGGAGCCAATTGAGGCAACCCTTTTCAGGGTGAGTGATGACTGTCCGGACTACCGAATTTACGAATTTTAAGTTGGTAATTCATCTAAGTAAACTGCAACAGCCGGCCATACTGTTTTTCCTGCCTTTTGAGTTTGTCCCGCTGATCTTGCGGTCCCAGGGATTCCTCGCCGATGCGTTTCTTCAACTGTGTAGCCGTTCTGAATTGCCAGAAACCTCCGTTTTTGCAGCAACTTTTGCAGCGTCATATTGCATTATTTCACGACCTATGATCAGGCAGGCACACGACTTTCAGGTGTGGTATTCTTTCCTTTTGGTTCTCTGGTGAGGTGAAACATATTGTGCATCTAATTCGTTGGAACTTGAAAGCTGTTTTATGCCATTGCGGCACGACTTGACCACGGTCCCGGTGCAGGGAATAATTGCACGATTTTGTAGGTAGTTAGGGACTGAATCCTGTATGTGAAACTTTTTACAATTGTCCACTTTTGTTTTGACCTACTGAAGCGATGCATCCGTGGAACACTCCAACATCATGGCCTGCTCCACCACAGCCTTCGAACCCATCTTCGACGTGGCCGCAATCGACACCGAGTGCACATTTATTTGGACATCCCTCGGCTTTGCATCCTACATGGTCATCCTCCGCTTCGCTCATGCCGTCTACATCCGCCCCAACATCGTTGCCGTTCACCTCATTGACTTCGGCTCCTCATGCAGTACCAGGTCCACAACTTGTACCCACCATGCCTTCACCTTTGGCTCCTGAACCAACTATGGTACACACCGCTCCGTCGACTTTTCCATCTCCTATGGCACCTACCGCTCCACCCGCGTGGCCTTCCACTTCGGCTCCATCCCCTACATCGACTACACCACCTACATCGACTATGACACCGACTCCTTTGACCAGTTCTCCATACCCACCTCACCACATTCAACCTCCATTACAGATGGACGCATCGACGATCCCTCCAAATGAGCCTTCACCACGGCCCCCAGCAGTTAAAGCAGCTCCCAGGCATCGCTCTGACAAAAGACCGGATCGACCGCGCAGACCAGCTCCGAAAACCCCTCCTCACGCTACACCATCGACACCTAAGACAGCACCGACTTCATCCGTGCCACCTGAACTTGCATCCCTGGGTTCCACCGCACAACAACTGGCCGAATCTGTTCGACTTATCCAAGCTCAGCAACTATTACTCATGGATTCTCAACGGGCACAAGAACAACGTCAACTCCTTCTTCAACAAGATGAACATCCACCGAATCCTACACCACAGATACCGCCACCTACACCACCACTGATCGCCACGCCTCCACCTGCACCAAAGGCCAGACCCACCGAACCGGACGTTCAGGACCATCGCATTGTCCCAGCTCCAACCATCGCTCCTCCTCACCAACCACAAGGTCCACCACCACCAACACGCCGACCACGATCCCGAACTCCAAGATCACGTTCCCATCGACCTTCTGTACATTCTTATCGCCATCGCCATTCTCCTCCACGTGCAGAGCGACCTCGTTCTCCTCTCCCTCGTCATCGATCATCTACGAAACCCGACAAGAGCCGCAGAACACCATCTCCATACAGACGACGCTCACCACCACGACGCCGCTCTCCTGTGGTCCCTCGACGTCACCGCTCCCATCCACGCCCACGCTCCGCGACACCACGTCACCGATCCCGAGGCCGTGAAGTCATACTTCGACCTGCTGCAAACCCATCCAATCCGAACTACATTCCTACTCCTGATGCTGATGACACCTGGGGTACATGGAACGAAAGCCACTACAACGACGCCTACGACCACCACACTGCTCGACCCAATTCTCCTACTGATCCACCACCATCGGAACCACAAACCAACCCACCAACCCACACTTCAGCACCACTCGGCGCGGTGTCCTTCCGAGTTCCGGACGGCGACAGTGAAAATTCTGAGGTTGCTGATACCATTTCGCTCACCAAGTTTGACACGAATGACATCGACCTCGATGAAATGGTGGCGGCGGCCAATGACCCCCATAGAGTTCGATGCCTGACCGAGCTTGGCCCCGATCATGTTGTTCCTCTACGCCAATCATTGACCCCGGCTATCTTGCAGCTCTTCAACCAGTTTGTGGACGCGATGTTCGAACAGTTGGCTAAACCATACCGCACCGTCAACAACCATCGTATTTGGATCAAAGCCAGCCAAGCCACCGTCAGGAATATTGCCAGGGCCTTTGCACAATCCGACTTACTGGACATCGAACTTGCAAAGCAAACACAAGCCTTCTATATTGAGCCAGAGAACTTGCTGACCATCACGGTTCCCACAGGATTGAAGAAGAAACCAATCTACCGTGGCGAACACATGGGCACCTACCTGATCTACCACAAGACAAGTTGGGAATCAGTTGCCAAAATTCTTGCTGAAGACTGCATCCGCCCGGCAACTTGGACAAAAAACGAAGCCGGTATACCGACCCAATACCCGTGTTACGGGTTCTTCGGAATGTCCTCTGAGATCGCAGACACCGACAACCTACCCGGCTATGCTGTCAGGATTTGTACCTCTCAGCTTTACAAAATAGGCAAAGGACAAAACCCATCAGGCCTGCTGGCCATATGCCGCTCACCCAAATGCATCCGTGCCCTAGCTGGAGGAAATGACCAAATCCAACGCTTGTGCAACCTTGCGGGCATCGCCAAGGGCAAAGACAATGCAACGGCTATGAACTCAAGCGCTGCATCTATATGCTACGTCGCCTCCACTCACCAGGTTTTCCCGGGCTTGATCACACACCAGACTGCGGAGACCAATGCACCTTCGGAACCTCCTGATGATTCTGCACGTCCAGTACGACCTGACCCTTCTGCCGACGCCCCAGAACCTTCGGAGCCGGCCCCGGACGACTCTCACAATACACCGAGCCGCCGCGAGACCGCTACCTCTGGCTCCCGGGACTATGCTCGCCGATCTTGGCATGACAATGCTGCTTGGGACAATTCCACCTACAGCCGCCGAGATCGCCGATCCTCATACTATGACGACCATTCTCGCGACCAGCACCATGAAGGCCGACCTCGTTCTCGACATTCGACCCACCACTCCAAATCTCGTTGGTGAATTCTTTACCCTTGAGGAGTACCAGAACAAGTATCGACTATTCTACGTCGGCGATCCAGTGAGCCTAGTGGCCCTGCCCGATTATTTTGGAGTAACAATGCTTCTCCCGACATTCGGTATTGCTGCCACTTCTTCCTCAAAAGGTTTGTGACTCGCTGCATGCTCATATTGTGGATCCTTGCGCAAGATTCGTTTTCACCTTATGTTTCACACACTGGAACCTCGTATTATGTTTCACTTTTTCACTCGCACACTATCCTTGTCTCACCCTGACATTTCTCGCAGCTTTCATTCGGCAGTTCGAGCGCATTTTGACCTATTGTCTCGTGACCCTCTCTACATCATGGCGTCCCAGGACCTGATCTCCCAATACAGCGCGGATATGAATGGAATTCCTCCTTCCCAGCCGGATCGCTCGCGCACACCACCTCGTCATCCACATGGTTGGCACCAAGCAGTACCGGCGTTCCGTGGCCCGATGCACTATGCCATGACGACCCATCGACCCTTTTGGAACCCATCCGGAATACCGCCTCCACCGCCTACGTCTCCATCGTTCCCAACACGCCCACCATGGACTTCGCCTACGGCACCTTTTCCGCCCACGCCGCCTCCGAGCTCACAGACACCCCCCAACAACGCCAGTTTTGCACCTCAACGTCACCCTTTTACACCGAGATCACCGAGACCTATGTCATCCCCAGGAGCAAGTTCTTCTGTCAACGAAGGATATACATGCAGACCAATTGAAATCCCACCAGTTGAGAATTGGAAACCTGATGTCGACTTCCACGACTCCAACAAGATCAATGGTTTGGACTTCCCTTCTAGAATCCGACAGAGCAGATTTTCAAGCTACAAGGACATTGAAGGGATGGATCCTTTACAAGTCCCACTCTGGAAGTTCTTGTACCAGGGCTTACACAATACTTGGCTTCGCCGAGTTGCATACGGAAGAGAAACCTTCGTCCTTCCTTTTGACAACATAGGCACTACAGTATTTGTGGCCGAATTGGTATCACAACTACGCACTCGCAATGTAGACTTGGACAAACTCGCTACATTCCGAGCTCGTTCAGCAGGCCAATGTCTCAACCAAAAGGAGGCCACCCAAAACATGGCCAAAGATGTTGCTCAACTTCTCCAATCTTGGCTCCCGACTCAACCTTCTGCTGACGTGGCCAGCCAACAACGCATTCTTGAACTGGAGGCAGAACTGGCCAAGGTCAAATCGGCCGCTACTACCT